AAACATAATTTTGTTAGTACAGCTGACATGGTTAGACGAAGGGTTTAAGGTTCTGTTGACTCACTCATCTGTGTTGAAGATAGATGTATATTGATAACATTTTCATCAGTTCCATCTGTAAACTATGCTTCCATTCTGAGTAGCGATTTTTGTAATAAATTCCAGTGCAAAATAGATTTTAAGAAAAATATCAGATTATGTCTTCAGAAAACTTGGAAAATTCATAAGAGGAACAAATCCCTCCATATAATCATATGATGAGCCAATTTGGAAATTCAAATGGAAATGGAAAATTAGGTCGAACAGACAAAGTGAAGTATCATATCGATACCAGCGAGGCTTCACCCGTGAAACAACGTCAATTCTTGATGTCGCCCTATATGCTCAGCCATCTCAATCCAGAGCTGGATAAAATGTTGAAACAACGTGTAGTCAAACCATCTAGGAGTGATTGGTCTCCACCTATGTTACGAGTTAAAAAGCCTAGTGGCGATTTCAGATTTTGTTCCGACGGTAAAAAACTTGATTCATTCACTTGAAAGGACAGTTATCCATTGCCTGTAGTAGACAGAATATTATTCATGCTCAATCATACTCAATTTATTTCATCGGTGGATTCGAGGAGCGCATTTTGGTAAATTCCTCCTAATGAGTCATCCAAAGAGGAAACTGCTTTTTCAGTACCCGATAGAGGTTCATCTCAATTTGAAGTTATGCCTTTCGTGTTATGCAATGCCGCACAGTGTTTGCAACGCCTCATGGACGAAATCTTTAGTCCAAGGATGGAACCCCATATCTTCAATTCATCAGATGATCTAATCATGGTGAGCCCAACTTTTGGAAAACATATACAGTTATTAGATGAAGTAGCGAAGATATTGAGGGCATGTAACTTGTGAGTAAATTTCAGTGAGTGTGCATTTTTGGCCCGTCATTGATTCAGGATTTATAATCGACAAACATGATTTGAAGACAGACCCAGCCAAAGAAAGTGAGAGCGATGGAAGAATATAGTCAGCCTGAAAATATCACCAAGAAAAAGAGGTTTACTAGAATGTGTAGCTTGTATAGAATGTTTATTCCTCACTTTAACATTTATGTCACCCATAAATAATTTGTTGATGATTAAATCAAAGGATCAGAAAATTTCTTGGACAGAAGAAGCTGGAAAAGCAATCAGTGATATGAAACAAGCTTGAGTTCCATCACCTATTTCAACTAGTCCTCAATTTGATCCACCACTTACGATTCAGTGTGATGCTTCAGATACTGGTTCGGGATCTGTTTAACCTCAGGTACAGGAAAGAAATGGAGAAATCATTGTTTTTGCATCTCGTAGCACTTATATGTAGAGATGAAAGGAATATATGCAGTAACAAAGAAAAAATGCTTGGTATAAATCTTCCATAGATGAAAACCCGAAGTCATCTCCACAACTTTCATTTGATGATCATAGATCATATAAGGGAACATGTTTCGGGCTTATATAAGCCCATCATCAGCCAAGAAAATGTAAAGTTCTAGAAAAGACAGATTTGACCTATGGTATGATACAATAATATTTTACTTACATGAAAGTAAAAAATGTTGCAATGTGTATAAAATACGCAATAACGAAGCAAGCAAAGGCCATTGATCCATGATCTGGAAAAGGAACACTGAAAATTTTTGAAGAAATATCAATATGAGCGAAACTGACTGTTTATATAATGAAAATGTTTTTTAATAAATCGTATAAAGTTGAAGGTTGGGTCAAGAACATATTTAATAAGGGCCCACGGTACCCTTAAATCACCGATAAGTGGTAATTAAACTTGAAAATATCAATCTTCTATAATAAGAAAGATGTGGCTTCGGAAATAACCAAGAAAAGAATCACATGTGCGGAAGCACTGAACAGTAAAATTTTATGCTGTCAACTGTCAAGTCATCCAGATCATGGAACATTTAGTTGCATAGATAGACAGATTAGGTGATGGGGGGCAACACCATAGCACAGCACTACGTCAGATTGGCAACAGAACTGGAAACAAGATTGGTACAATCAGAAATCTTACAATCAAAAATCTAGAAAAAAAAGTACATGGCAAATGGCAATTATTTAGCAAGATTCAATGAATTGAAAAATTTGTTGCAATCATATTGAGTTTGTTCATTCAAAGAAGTTACATTATTATTATTTGATGACAAATTTATCTCATAAGTTTCCAAAAGATTTAATAAACGGCCTTTTTGGCATATGTGTAGAATCTATGAACTATTGTCAACGTTAAAACTGTGTTTGCAATTGAGAACGTGGTCAGAAAAGGAACTACCAGTTTTGAATACACCCAGAGGGAGAGAAAAAGTGGCTTTTCTTATGTATTCAATTTGCTCATTTACTCTGGTTTGAATCCGTCTACCACTCTGGCCTGTGTAATGGGAATTGCAATTGGGATGTGAACAAGAAAATTCATATACACCTGGTTTATGGAGAGGGGGAATTTTATTCTTATTATTGACAAACATACGTGAGTTCGTGGTGTAAAAAGACATATTCAGATCATCACAGAATCTAAGAAAAATATTGCTGATGTCTCGAGAAACTTCACCTTAGTATGGAATTGAAGCAAACCATCTCCTTTGATTAGTAGTTGGTAGTGAACTGCGGTTAGCAAACTTGTTTAAATGGCGATTGTAAATTTTATCAATTAAATGAAAAGGAAAACCATTGTTATGTGCTATTTGTTTAATAATGTTCAATTCAGCAATGAAATTTTCAGGAGAGAGTGGAATGTTGAAAAGCCTATGGAAAAAACTATTGAAAGCTGCAAATTTATGAGAATTAGGATGACAAGAGGAGAAGGGAATTACAGAGTCATTGTGTGTGGGTTCCCTATATATAGCGAAACTGAATTTGTCAACATTTTCAGTGATTAATAAATCTAGGAATGGTAGAGTGTTATTTTGTGCAATTTCCATGGTGAATTCAATGGCCGGATGTAATGAATTCAGAAAATCTAGGAGTAGATGAACTTCATTTGGATCACCATCATAAAGCACCAAACAATCATCTACACATCTGTACCAGAATTTAATTTTGGCAAAAAAAGGAAACAATTTCAAATTTTCTTCTAAAGCCTGAAGGAAAATTTCGGATAATAAAGGAGATAAATTGCTACCCATAGCTAAACCTGAAATCTGGGAGTAAAATTCATAGTTAAGTTGGAAAAAAATCTGTTTCAAAACAATATCCAAAAGGGATACTAGATTGAGTACATGGGAAGTAGGGACACCTACACTGAAAAAAAGGTTACGTACCAATCTGATTTAGTCATCAGGTGGTACACTAGGAAAAAGGTTGACCACGTCAAATGAAACTAATGTTGAATTAGGAGGAATAACACTGTTTTTTATTTTATCAGTCAAATCGATTTGACCCTCTTTTCAGTGTAGGTGTCCCTACTTTCCATGTACTCAATCTAGTTTCCTTTTTGGATATTGTTTGGAAATAGATTTTTTTCCAATTTAACTATAAATTTCACTCCCAGATTTCAGGTTTAGCTATGGGTAGCAATTTATCTCCTTTATTATCCGAAATTTTCCTTCAGGATTTAGAAGAAAATTCAAAATTGTTTCCTTTTTTTGCCAGAATTAAATTCTGGTAGAGATATGTAGATGATTGTTTGATGCTTTATGATTGTGATCCAAATGAAGTTCATCTACTCCTAGATTTTCTGAATTCATTACATCCGGCCATTGAATTCACTATGGAAATTGCACAAAATAACACTCTACCATTTCTAGATTTATTAATCACTAAAAATGTTGACAAATTCAGTTTCGCTATATATAGGAAACCCACACACACTGACTCTGTAATTCCTTTCCCTTCTTGTCATCCTAATTCTCATAAATTTGCAGCTTTCAATAGTTTTTTCCATAGGCTTTTCAACATTCCACTCTCTCTTGAAAATTTCATTGCTGAATTGAACATTATTAAACAAATAGCACAGAACAATGGTTTTCCCTTTCATTTAATTGATAAAATTCACAATCGCCATTTGAACAAGTTTGCTAACCGCAGTTTACTACCAACTACTAATCAAAGGAGATGGTTTGCTTCAATTCCATACTTAGGTAAAGTTTCTCGAGACATCAGCAATATTTTTCTTAGATTCTGTGATGATCTGAATATGTCTTTCTACACCACAAACTCGATATCACGTATGTTTGTCAATAATAAGGATGAAATTCTCCCTCTCCATAAACCAGGTGTATATGAATTATCTTGTTCACATCATAATTGCAATTCCCAGTACATAGGCCAGAGTGCTAGACGGATTCAAACCAGAGTAAATGAGCACATTGAATACATAGAAAAAGCCACTTTTCCTCCCCCTCTGGGTGTATTTTAACCTGGTAGTTCCTTTTTTGACCAAGTTCTCAATTCCAAACACAGTTTTAACGTTGACAATAGTTCAGAAATCCTACACATATGCCAAAAAGGCCGATTATCAAATCTTCTGGAAACTTATGAGATAAACTTGTCATTAAATAATAATAATGTAACTTCTTTGAATGAACAAACTCAATATGATTGCAACAAATTTTTCAATTCATTGAATTTTGCTAAATAATTGTCATTTGCCATGTACTCTTTTTTCTAGATTTTTGATTGTGAGATTTCTGATTGTACCAATCTTGTATTCAGTTTTGTTGCCAATCTGTCGTAGTGCTGTGCTATGGTGATGCCCCAATCTTGTATTCAGTTTTGTTGCCAATCTGTCGTAGTGCTGTGCTATGGTGATGCCCCTGATCACCTAATCTGTCTATCTATGCAACTAGTTGTTCCATGATCTGGAGGACTTGACAGTTGACAGCATAAAATTTTACTGTTCAGTGCTTCCGCACATGTGATTCTCTTCTTGGTTATTTCCGAAGCCACATCTTTCTTATTATAAAAGATTGATATTTTCAAGTTTAATTACCACTTATCGGTGAGATACTAAAGTGTTTAGGGGTTTTAACTAGTAAAGCAGAAAAGTCACAGGCTACTCTAGATGAAATAAACGTGGAGCTGAAACAAGCCCAAAATAGAATTTTTCATCTTGAAGAAGAAAATAAAAATCTTAAAGAAAACATCAGAAAACTGCAATCAAAGGACAGAGAGAACAACATTATCGTGTTTGGACTGCCACCCACCACAAATAAGGAAGAAAACCTGATATTTTTGGAACGAGCTCTGGAAGTAGAAATACATAAAAAAGACTTAAACAATATATATGATATAGGAAAGAAAGAAGTGGAAAATAGGCCAGTGAAAATAGAGTTCTTATCACACCTGAAAAAATCAGAAATTCTCAAAAACGCCTATAAACTCAAAGATAAAGGCTTGAAATCGATTTATATCACACATGATCTTACTAAAGAGGATCAAAAAATCAATAAATATCTGAGACATTTCCTTAATGATGCCAAAAAATTAGGGAAAACAGCGACTATTAAATATAACAAATTGTTAGTCGATGGAACTACCTACACATACGAACATCTGTTGCGACACAAGCATAACCCATTTGTGAATCAGGATGCCGCCGTTGAAGAAAATGATATAATATCTGACACGGTAGAAGACTTTGAAGAGACAAACAAAAGAAAAAATTCTTCAGACGGAGACCAATCAAATAGAAAATTCCAATTAGAAAAACCAAGAACCACTAGGAGTAATTCAAAAAAATAGAATTTGTAAAATATATTAGGTTAAGATAGCTAGATAGATTAAACTGTTCTATATATCACTTAGTTGTTGAGATATTCAAATACCTATATGTTTCTTGTCATTGCATGTATAGTATCTATAAAATGAATGATTATATTACTGAGTTTTCGGTCACTGATCATATAGCAGCAGAGTTGAATAATGGTGAAGATTTTCATAATGATATTATCAGGCAAGGACTTACGAATCAATTCTCCATCTTTCATTGCAATATGAGGAGTATCAATAAGAACTTCGATGAAATATTACTTCTACTGGATGACTGCAAATATCAATTTGATATTATAATATTCGGAGAAACTTGGCAAATACAGGATTTAAATTTTTTTCAGATTGATGGGTATCAGATAGTATAATACAACAAGGGAAAATTTAATCAAAATGATGGAGTAGTGGTTTATGTCAAGAATATGTACCATAATCTTTGTAGTTTTGATATAATTGAGCTAGGGAATATAAAAATGATAAATGTCACAGTACAGACAAGGAAAGCCAAAATTCAAGTGAATGCATTATATAGGCCCCATGCAACTAATGTCAATGAATTTATCGAAGATCTAAGGAATTATTTTAGAATTGCACAAAACGGAAATTATCATGTACTTATAGGTGATACAAATATAGATCTAAAATCGAACAGAGATTATGTCCAACAATATCTGAATATAATGAATGAATTTGGGTATAACTCACTTATTAATACCTATACAAGAATAAACGGCGGATCAAAGACCTGTTTAGATCACATTTTTGTAAGAGGCCCCGAAAATTCAACGTATCATTATTCCTACGTGATTAAAAATAATACCACCGATCATTTTCCTGTTGCATGTTTTTTGAATACTCAAAGAACACAAGACACTCTAGAACCTAAAACAATGAAAATATTACAAGGGAATGAGAAAAAAATGAAGAAAAGATTCAGAAATGAAAATTGGTTTGAATTTTTTGAAACCTCTGACATAGACAAAAAAACGAATTTTCTTATTGAAAAAATTATCCATGCTAAGGAATATGCAACAAAAGAAATCATAATGAATAAGAAAAAAAAGCGCAATCCGTGGATCACTCAAGGTCTCATAAAATCAGCACAAATTAAACAGAAACTTTATCAAACTTCGCGAAACGACCCAAGCAATAAAGAGAAAGAGAGCAACTATAAAGAATATAAAAATTTTTTTAATAAACTAATGAATAAAACAAAACTCCATTACTCTGAGAGAGAACTTGAAAAAAACGGAAACGATAGCAAATCACTCTGGAATACGGTTAACAAGTACATAGAAAAAACTAAAGAAAAAATCGATATAACAGAAATAAAAGTCGAAGACGAATTAATTAGGAATGAAGAAAACATAGTAAATATTTTCAACAGCTATTTCTCTGGAGTTGGAAGGAATTTGGCGAAAAAAATAATCAAACCAGAAGTTTCGGTTAGGAAAAATACAAGATCTCAAAATAGTATGTTCTTCAATGCAACTGACGAAACCGAAATCGAGAGTGCCATAAAAGAATTGAAGCTGAATAAGGCACCAGGAATTGATGGCATAACGTCACACACCCTGCAAATATTATCACCATTCATAAAAGGTCCACTAGCGCACTTAGTAAACGAGATTTTTGAAGTAGGTCATTTTCCACAGTGTCTCAAGGTAGGACTTGTCAAACCTCTTTTCAAAAAGGGCGACAAATTGGATATAGGAAATTACAGACCAATATCTCTCATCTCCAGTATGGCAAAAGTAGTGGAAAAAATAATTAAAAAAAGGACTGTCGATTACTTAGAGAAATATGATCTATTATCTAAAAAGCAATTTGGGTTCAGACAGGGTATCTCAACGGAGGACGCAGTTATATACTTGACTAATAATATCTATAATAACCTTGATCATAACAAAAAAGTTATATGTATATTCCTCGATTTGGCCAAGGCCTTTGATACCGTGGATCACAATATAATGATGGATGTGCTGGAGAAACTTGGCTTTCGAGGAATAGTATTAGATCTTTTCAAATCCTATCTCTACAAGAGAGTACAGTATGTTGAAATTGAAAACACTTTGAGTGATACAGAAATGTTAGACTTTGGTGTTCCCCAAGGTACGGTGCTTGGCCCAATTCTATTCTCTATTTATATAAATGAACTACTGAATCTTGAAAGTTCTGGCAATATATCATCCTTTGCAGATGATACTGTGATACAGTATACAGCAGCCACATGGAAAGAAGTGAAAGAACGCGCAGAGACGGATATTCTGAACATAAAAGCTTGGTTTGATGAGATGTCATTGACTATGAATTTTGACAAAACAAAATATATTCCATTTAGTTGTAATAAAAGTACATCGCCGCATTTCAATTTACTAAAAATAAATCAAGGTAATAAAGAGATAAAGATAGAACAAGTGGAGCATATCAAATATTTAGGTTTGGATATTGACAGATACCTAAGATGGGATGTACACATTCGATCACTATCAAGAAAGCTCAGATCTATTATATACAAATTCAAAATGTTGAAAAAAATCTTGAATATATCAAAACTGAAAACCATCTATTTCTCCTTAGTATACTCACACATCCAATATGGAATTGCAGTTTGGGGTGGAGCATACGAAACACGTTTGAAACAGGTGGAAATCATACAAAAAATATTCATCAAAATAATATACAATAAGGAACGTACCTACCCTAGTGATTTACTATATATAGAGAGTGGACTTTTTGACATTCATCAAATATACTGCCAAAAAATAATAACTCAGCAACACAAATATAAACATCAGTTAAAAGAAATAAACCATAACTACAATACACGTTATAAAAAAGAAAGAAAGACACGAACTGAAAAAACTGATAAGAAAATTAGACAAAGATCTTTTGCTTTCATTGCCCCTCACATATATTGTCTGATTCCTGAAGAAGTAAGGAATATATACCAAATAAACAAATTCAAAAAGCAAATTAAATTGTGGTTGATGAAAATTCCTCGAAGAATTTTATCAAATATCATTAATCGCAATAACTGACCATTTTGTTTATCCAACAAAAATGATTGGAATATCTCACCACTATGTAACAGCTGCTATATAAAAAAAAAAAAAAATCTCACCAACACCAAATGCGAAATAATCGCATCCATGGAATAATCTTAGCATGCCTTATATCAAGTTCAGAATTATAGTTTCCATAGTTAGTATTTTAATGTTTTGCAATAATATAATAATACACACACACTCATACACCCTCACGAACACACCATTACCTATAATTATACACCATACTATATAATACAATATATATATTATATATAAAGTTACTACCACGTACTAGTCTTGTTAGACTTCAGTGGATTTCTTTATCTATTTCCTAGGTTTTACTTATGTATGAATACCTAATTGTGCGTTAATATTTTATTGGGAAATAAATATTATTATTATTATTATTTGAGGGTACCGTGGGCCCTCATTAAATATGTTCTCGACCCCTCAACCTTCAACTTTATAAAATTTTTTAAAAAAAATTTTCATTATATAAACAGTAAGTTTCGCTCATATCGATATTTCTTCAAAAATTTTCACTGTTCCTTCTCCAGATCATGGATCAATGGCCTTTGCTTGCTCCGTTATTGCTTATTTTATACACATTGCAACATTTTTCACTTCCATGTAAGTGAAATATTATTGTATCATACCATAGGTCAAATCTGTCTTTTCTAGAACTTTACATTTTCTTGGCTGATGATGGGCTTATATAAGCCCGAAACATGTTCCCTTAAATGATCTATGATCATTAAATAAAAGTTGTTGAGATGACTTTGGGTTTTCATCTATGAACTACACCACTCCACTTTGAGTTACCATGGACTTCTTCCGAAGATTATATATCTTTGCCTACGAACCTTCAAGATCTCACATTGAGGAAGTTCATTTTACTCTAATAACTGATGATGCGTCACTTGGATAAATGTTAAAAACTGATGAACCTATAGGCAGAATTGCAAGATGGACAGAAATATTGAGTCAATTCGATTTCGAAATAAAACATGGAAAAGGAGAGTTCCATGTTGTACCCGACGCACTTTCAAGCAGCCCTGTAGACCCTCCTACAGAAGGAAACACAGAAGAAATTTCAGCTATTCAAAACTCAGATAACTGTATAAATTTGAGAATCGACTTGGAAAATTCAGACACTTATTATATAAAATTTCGGGATAAAATTTTGGAGAATTGTGAGAGTTATATACAATGAGAAGTCAAAAATGGGTTTGTTTACAAATCAGTACCGTCAGAGCCTTCTTCAGAGAGTAATGTATCAGAATGAAAGTTAAGTCATGGAAACCATCCATCCATATTTTCCATATTTTACGTATTTTTTCAAAGAAAAAAACGAAACACTGAGTCGGTCGGCCACAAAGTTTGATTACAAAAGTTTCACTTTTTGTGACTTGTTTCGGCTCGAGCAGCCATCTTCAGACACAATATACAGTACCTGTAAAGATATTGGTCAACAAGAATAGTTCAACATATTGAGGGAAAAACATACCTATAAAAGACACGTGAAATCACATAATCAATTAGATTTCAGAATTAAATCCAGTAAGAATATTAATACTCTTCTGAACCGACTGAACAGCCAGAAGAACCCAACAATCATTAGATTCAACATTGGCAAAGATTGGGAAAAACCAGCAATAATTCACTCAAAGGAGTTTCATCTTAAAAAAGCCATTTTTGTGAAAGTAGAAAGCCAAGGAGAAGGCAACGAAGTGTCAAGCATAGCAACAGACGTTAACAGAAAAACAGGACAAATGACAGTGACATTTGATACAAACCCACATGGGGTTTCTTCAAATCTTCTCAACCAGCTGGTAGCCCTGGTCATCTTGGAGACAAGGACACTACAGGCTTCGAGAGTCGTCCAGGTCCGGGATTCTACCTCGAAGAGCTGTGTCGCCACCA